GACGAACACAGGTCATCAAAGCTGTGTTGCGCCTGTCATGCCACCCTGCACGCCCACCAGTACGTCCGGGTGCGCAACGGCGAGGAGAAGCTGGTGGATGTGTGGGACACGAAGCGGTGTGTCAACAAGGGCTGCAGAGTCCATGTTGTCAACCGCGACGTCAACGGAGCGGCCAACATGCTGATGCTGACCAAGTGCTTTTTTGAGAATGCACTTCGTCCCACAGCTTTGGGTGGACCCCCTGTATCGTCTTCTCCCGCCCTCCCACCCCCCCCACCCCCTCTGGTTCGCCGATCGAGGCAACCAACTGCGCCAGCGATATCCCGTCCACGGGAAGCAGCTGTGCAACCGGCGCAAGCCCGGTAGGGATCTGTTTCGGAACTCAGATCCCGCAACTTGCACGAATGTTACAATAATCACTCTTTCACAAAGGCATGGCGCAGGAGCCCAGGATTGTCATTGGTCTCGCTCTTGGTTGGTTCCTGGTCTGGTGCGCTGTCCGACACCCCTTCCCTGGCCTGGTCGTCAACAGGTGTGCTGCCGCCAGACGCTATTTGCTTTTTTCGTGTGATTGAATTTGCAAGTACCCATGGTGTCTTCTCATGCCACCTCCTTTCGAGCACAGGCTAGTGGTGCAGTTCGGCCCTTGCACCGACGCCATCTTCAATCGGGGAGCCTGGATTGAGAGCGGGGCCACAACGTGCCCTCCACCAGCGCAATTTGGCACCTGTGCTCCCAACTTCGGCAAGCAGTGGCTGTTCAGCCGCCGTGCACACCAGTGCGGCATGCGATATCGCTCCCCCGCCACTCTCAACTCGACGCTGGCCGGCAAGCATGTCCTCTTCATGGGAGATTCCATCACGCGGTATCTGGCCGAAGCCCTGCTCAGAGCGACTGGGAGGAGCGGTGGGTCATGGGAGATGTTCTCTGGGAATCTGAATGGTGTGGGATGAGAAGGGTCCGAAGCATCGGGTCGAGAAGGGGCATGGCGGTGGAGTGCTCGGGAATGTGTTGTTACCCAGGATCTAGGGAGGTGACCACCACATGCAGCCCTGTGGTACTCGGGCCAGTGGCCATGATCATGCCAGTGCTGAGGTTCTCCCTGCGGTGGCCCCACCTGAGCCCATCCCCGGCAACCTCCCTCCCTGTCGCACAGCGGCCGTCCCCAGGTGGCACATGGACATGACCTACCCGCTGGCAGCCTCCAATGCCACCCTGGACTTCTGGTGGAGTCCCTACCCGTCCAACATCACAGACTCAATGCAAAGGGTCCTCAACACCACCGCCAGGCCAGACCTGGTGGTGGCTTCCTTCTGCGCCTGGCACCTCCACTCTGTCATGAACATCAGCGACTGGTCCAGGCAGCTCGATGAGGTGGATGCAGGAGTCAAGGTCGGTGCATGGGATGGGATTGGGGCTGATTGCCTCTGGATTCTGGAACTTTGAAATGTCGCAGCAAATACCCTCTCAAGCTCCTCGTTGGGCTGTGGCAAGCCCCCCCGTGGACGATGCTTCCCATGTGGGAGGAACATGGGGGCTGTACCGCGTCGATGCCACCCCACACCAGTCATCATTGGTGAGCCTCCTGGTGAGTAACCCCACCCCACCCCCTCCCCCCCGTGCTCCCTGCAGATCCTCGCGGCCGACGGCCTTCGACCCATCGTGGTCAGCTGCCCCCACAGCGTCCAGGATCGCCTCACCACGGATGAGTGGGCGGTCATCAAGCCCTTGGGGCTGCGGTACAACGAGGTGCTGATGAGCCGGACGCTGCGGTCCTGGCGCCTGCTGGACCTCAACACCATGAGCACCAACTGCGGGGACCCGTGTAGCAAGGACCGGGAGCACGCCTTCAGACCCGTGTATGATGCCGCGGTGCAGGTCCTGCTGGGGATGAGCGCGGGGCCCCTCTTGGGGGAGGGGGAACGATGACCCCGGCTGGCCCCTTGGATTAGTGCATGCTGACAAGCCTGACACCAGGACTTCCCGCTCAGGATCAACACATGTTTCTGATGCCGCCTGCATGCTCGTGTGCAATTGCTGACTTGGAATTTTTGACGGCTTGCCGACGGTGGCCGGGAAGGGTCTACACCCCTGTCCCATCGAGGTTGCGATGCGCATCTCAAGTACCCAGCTTGACGAGCCCAGCCCAGGAAATGTCTGGGGCACCATCCGTGCAGACATGGTGATGATGCTTGCATATTCATAACTTTCCAATGTACCACTCCTTGCCATTCCGGGGGGCAGACATATGGGACAATGCAGGGTAAACTTGAAAGCCTGTGCCTTACTGGGTCATATTACACTGATAACAATGGCACTAAAGCAGAATCCACTAAATACAGATGCAAGATGTCACTGGCGTGCAGCTTGAATTCAGGTGCCGTGATCAACTTCATTGTTCTTCCGTTGTGTCAAAGGGTATCCATGAGAATGCTTGGCGCCCGATGCGGGCCAGCTGTCCCTTGCGCGACATCGAAGTACGCTTGCAAGAGGCGCGGGCCTCAGCAATCAACAGACTATCGACACGCCTGCAACCAATTATTTGCGCGTTCGAGGGTGCATCCAACATGTCTTGCAACGTGTCATGAAGCAGGCATTCACAATCTGGCTGGGTGTTACCGGTATCTGCCTACTGACATGGGCATGGCTACGATTTCCTGCCCCGATGAGTGTTGGTGAACGGTGAGCAAGATCAGATGTGAGAAAATATTCTTCGATCCAGTGCTCATGTCTGTTGTCCTAAAACATTTCGCCTATTGCGCGCAGGGTGACGCCCCCCCACATATTCCCATGTTCCGACAACGACCTGAATCAGGGACAATGGGTTCCAGGTAACAGGAGCAGCTGTCCCCCTCTCCGTGGTGAGGCTACTTGTGATCCGAGCTTCGGCAAGCAATGGCGATTCGATTCGCGCGCAACACAGTGCGGTCTGATATACCAGCCGCCCGAGCTTGTCAACGCAACCATGCCCAGCAAGCACATCCTCTTCATGGGAGACTCCATTGCAAGATACTTGCTCCAGACTCTGCTCAGAGCCATGGGACGCAATGGTGGGTGGCACATTGAAACCATGTCCGAGCTTGGAAGAGTTGGTTTGTTAATTGAGTTGAGGCACTTACCATATCGATGTCAGGGCACTTTGGCGATGGACCATTCCCCCAAAGGGGAGCCCACCACATGCAACTCCACCCAGGGCTGGAGCCCGGGGGTTGTGAGTCTGACTGGTCCTGCAAAGCATGTGGAACCAGCGTTCACCTGTCATCCATGATGCTCCCCCTGCTGCAGTGACAGTTCCCCATGCTCACTCGGACCTGAACTATTCCCTGCCGGGAACGGCCGGCGCCCTTGAGTTCTGGTGGCGCCCCTTCCCACTCAATATCAGTGAAGCACTGCACAACCTCACGACCATCACCACAAAGCCGGATGCAGTTGTGACATCCTTCTGCTCATGGCATCTCGGCTTCATCAGGGATTTGGAGGAGTGGAAGGACCTCTTGGAGACACTGCGCCTCGCTGGAAAGGTGTGGGAGTGGGTGCACGGAGAGCCTGTGTGACAAAATCTGCCAGCCCAGAGCCAAGGCTGGCTCGGCACAGCACGAGATGTGTAGGGCGTGGTATCCTTTGACACGGGATGCTCTTTCCTTTTTGAGGCCATACAAGGTCCAGATTGTGCTACCAACAAACTCCCATCGGCCCACACCCCTGCACAGGAGCTGCTGTCCCAGGGGGTGCATCCAGTCGTGCTGAACTGTCCTCACCGGATCCAGTGGACCGACTCAAACGAGACCTGGGCAGAGGCGCAGTTGAATTCCCTGCGGTACAACCGCCTCCTGACGGAGTTTGCCCAGCAGCCCCCTTGGCGCCTGCTGAACCTTCACGCCTTGATGGCGGCTTGCGGCAATGAGTGCAACAAGGACAGGGTGCACGCCAGGCCCCCTGTTTATGACGCCGCCGTGCAGGTGCTGCTTGGCATGTTTGATCATGCTTGAATGCTATGTGATGAGCGAAGGGAACGTATGCGCCTAGATTGGGGCCGGCCTCCAGGCAGACATCTCCCTGAGGAACTTTACTTAACCCCGGTGTCGGCGATCTCCGGAACTCGGAATCACCGACAGGGCGCGGCCTGAGCACGCGTCCCTGCAGACACCAGGGACGCCTGCATGCCTCCTGCAGGATGAAACAGGCGCCGATGCCAATCCGAGAAATTCATCGGGGCGTCTGATCCACCTCGTCATGCTGTCCCAGGCCCTCCGACGGGTGTGCCAAAGGGCTAGTCCCCTCCCCGTGAGGGACGCCTGCCGACTGGCCTGCCTGCACACGACCCCCCCCGCATGCCAGCAGCCGGATGATCTGTCTCACAGCGAGGACTTCAGTCTGTCGGACGATACCCTGGAGTTCAAGCGCATGGCGGATGCCTTTGCCAGGCAGGAGCTGGCCCCCAATGGGGCAGCCTGGGATGCGGGCCACATCTTTCCCCTCGACACCATCCGAGCGGCAGCGGGCCTGGGGTTCGGGGCCATGTACGTCCCGGAGGATGTGGGCGGGAGTGGGCTGAGCAGGCTGGACGCGGCGGTTGTCTTCGAGGAGCTGTCCTATGGCGACGTCCCCGTCACCGCCTACCTGTCCATCCACAACATGGTGGCAGGCGTGATCGACCGCTACGGCACCCCCCAGCAGCGGGAGATGTACCTGCCGCGTATGGCGACCGCAGAGGTGCTGGCCAGCTACTGCCTGACCGAGCCCGTGAGCGACCAGAGGGGTTTGGGGATTAGGGAAGGGGGCGAAATCTGAACGGGGCATGGCACGCCCTCAACCAGATGCAGGCATGCTCCTTGGTACAGTAGGGTGCTCAAACTCCCCAAACTCTGGCCCCGCTGGCACGCCTGTCGCGTGAGGCCAGACTGACCCACGAGGCGGCGTCAGGCATGCATTCCTGGCCAGATAGCCGGTCCCCACCCTCCCTCCTCCCCACGCAGGGCTCTGGCAGCGACGCAGCCTCCCTGAAGACCACGGCCAAGCGTGATGGCGACGACTACGTCCTCACCGGCTCCAAGGCCTTTATCTCCGGCGGCTCCGTCTCCGACCTCTACCTGGTCATGGCACGAACAGGGGCGCCCGGCCCCAAGGGCATCTCTGCCTTCCTCGTGGAGAAGGTGAGGCGACTCTGTGTGTGGGGAGATGGGGAGGCGACTCTGTGTGTGGGGAGATGGGGAGGCGCTTCCCCGCCAGGGGTGGAGAGCCAGGGGGGCCTTTCTCTGCCTGGATGTGTTGGAAGCCCCGGTGTTGTCATCGACCTCCCGCCCTCCCTCCCAATTCTTGCTTCCCCACCAACCACGCCACCAAATTCCCCTCCGCCTCCCTTTTCTGTCCGTTCCCACCTCATCCACTCCCCCCACCTCCCCACCGCAGGGCGCACCGGGGCTGTCCTTCGGCAAGCGGGAAGAGAAGCTGGGGTGGAACGCGCAGCCCACGACCGCCGTGATCATGGACGGCGTGCGGGTACCGGCGCGCGCGCGCGTGGGCGTGGAGGGCCAGGGCTTTGCCATCGCCATGGCCGCGCTGGACGGCGGGCGCGTAAACATTGGCGCCTGCTCCCTGGGCGGCGCGGCCTTCTGCCTGGACGCGGCGGCGCGCCATGCGCGAGAGCGCCGCCAGTTCGGCCGCCCGCTGGCCGACTTCCAGGCCACGCAGTTCCGGCTGGCCGACATGGCCACCGCGCTGCACGCCTCACGCCTGGCGGTACGCCACGCCGCGCGCGCGCTGGACGCGGGCGCGCCCCAGGCCACCATGGCCTGCGCCATGGCCAAGCGCCTGGCCACCGACGCCTGCTATGACCTCACCAACGATGCGCTGCAGCTGCTGGGGGGGTATGGGTGAGTGGTGTTGAGGGCGAGGGGGGTGATGTTTGTCCAGTGAGGCAAGGAAACAAGTGGTGGAGGGGGTGGAGGAGGGGGGTTGCACTGTAAGGATTGGAATGGAGTACGGTGGGGCCAGAGCGGTTTTCTGTGCAAGGAGCGTGGGTTTGTGGGAGGGGGACTGGTCTGCTCGGCAAAGAATGGGGGTGAGAGGGGGCGGTGCTCTTTTGTAGTTTGTTCAGCGAGGGGGTTTGGTTCAAATGTGTGCCTTCCACACTCTAGCTGTCCGTCTGCCAGTCCAGTACAAGCTGGCTGCCGCACGTGAGCCTCCACCCACCCAACCGCCCACCTCCCCCACCGACACCTCCCCCACCGAGACCGTCACCAACAGGTACCTCAAGGAGTACCCTGTGGAGAGGTACATGAGGGACCTCAGAGTGCACAGCATCCTGGAGGGGACCAACGAGATCATGCGGGTCATCATCTCCAGGGAATTGGAGCGCCTGGGCGGGGTGTAGGCAGGCAGCCGCCGCGCTCGGGGCAGAGGGCGGCGATGAGCCGGCCCCTGCGCCCCGATCCGGAACGCATCTGCACCAGCACGCACGTCCAATCCACGTGCCTGCACGCCCTGACGGGACACGCGGGGGCCATGCTCCATGTTTGCGCCCTGAAAGGTCATCAGACCTTTCCTGCTGGCCGCACGCCAGGCGACTTGAATGCCCGCAGGCCTCGGGACTCCACATCCTGAACTGATTTTTGTGAGATTTCGTCATTGAAGAATGTATCCTCCAGTTCCTGGCATGAAGCTCTATGAAGCATCTCAATGGGTCGGTCTAGGATCGCTGGGATTCTCTATGTTGGGAACCCGGGGCGGGTACCCTGAGCGGAGGGGTGCCCCGGCACTCACCCTCGCCTGGGCCCACCCCTAGGGCCGCAGTCCCCACCGCAGGACCGATGTCGATACGATCGGTCGCCTTTGAGTGAGAATAAGCAGTACTACGCTCCGCTCCGGCGCCTGCCGTCCACCCTGAACAGGCGGGCTCGAGCAAGATAGCGCCCCGCCGACCCTTGCCCCACCTCTTCCCCCATGTCTACGATCGCGTAGTGGAGCCTCTAGAAGACGGCGTGATGAACTTCCTGCAGCGCATGCGCGTGAAGAATGTGGCGGAGCTGGCTCAGAAGGCCCACCAGTCCTTCGAGCGCCTGCCGTACGAGAGCAAGCAGGATCGGGTGGTGGAGGACATCTCGAAAGCCATCATGTCCATCAAGGTGGGTCGAGGCATGAAGATTGGGTCCCTTGATGGGTCTCGGGACCGGGGAGGGCGTCTCCTCGGTAGTGAATTCGCGGACGTCCCTTTCAATACCCCCGATACCCCGACTCACCTCTCCCAGGAGGCCATCTTTGGTGAGGATGAGCAGTCCAGCAGCAAGGAGCATGCCCAGGGGATCGCCAGCGAGGCCTGCAGGGTCGGTCTGGTGAGCGACCTGGTGACCTACCTGACCGTGCTGGACTTTGAGACGCGGAAGGACGTGGTCCAGATCTTCTGCGCCATCATCCGCATCACCCTGGAGGATGGGGGAAGACCGGGCAGGGACTACGTGTTGGCACACCCAGATGTGCTGTCCACCCTGTTCTACGGGTGAGGGGGTTTGCAAGAGGGGGCGTTTGGATCTCCCAAGGTGATCCCAAGAGGGGCTGCACTCGCACCATTTGCCCCCTGCTTGTGGGACTTGGTGGGTGCCAATCCTGGTCATGTGTGCCCAAGATCCATAGCTTCAATTTCCCATCTCCGCACCCATGGCTCCATCTGACCTGTCTGCTGCCAGGTATGAGGACCCTGAGATCGCGCTGAATTGTGGTCAGATGTTCCGAGAATGCATTCGACATGAAGACATCGCCAAGTGAGTTGAATGCAACCGCCTGGCTGGCCTTGGTCTTTGAGTGGAGCTCCACTGGGATGGCAATGCTATCAGAACAGGAAATATAACAGGACATAACTGTCCAGCGCTGTTGTGCTCCTCAATTTCAGAGTTGCCTCGCCCTCCACCAACTTTCAAAACCTCAATTGTGCCCGCCAGATTTGTATTGGAGTGCAACCTCTTTGAAGAGCTCTTTGAGAAGCTGAACGTCCAGAGCTTTGAAGTTGCATCAGGTGAGTGTGAGGATGCATGCAGCCCTTGGGGATTTGTGATCTTGTATGCCTACGAGGAGGCGTAGGGCTGCAGAAGCAGGGACCTGGGACGCGGCTGAAACGGAACTGGTCATCGGCACCTGTACTTGTTGCCGATTGTCCATCAATGGTCACCCCGATCATCAGATGCATTTGCCACGTTCAAGGACCTCCTCACACGAAACAAGCAGCTGGTTGCGGCATTCCTGCAAGAAAACTATGAAGATGTGAGGAGGCGAGGTGCTTGGCAACAAAACTGATTTGCAAGGAGGGATCTTGACGCTGGTCAACGCCAAGTGTCGCCCATATCTCATGGAGGGCTTTTGCTGCCCCATAGCATCCCCCATTCCCCTTTCACCCGTATATCCTGACTGCATCTACCAGATAAAGCTTGGCCCCCCCCTTCCACTCACAGTTTTTCTCTCAGCTGGACAAGCTTCTCACATCCGATAACTATGTCACCCGACGACAATCTCTCAAGGTACCTCCTGTGCCTCCCTGCACATGCTTGCTGCACGCACCTGGCTGCTGCTTGGAGTGCATGGGTGGCCGCAGTGTAAATTGCGCAGGTTGGGAGTCTGGTGCACCCGGGACCACACCTCTCGGCATGGTTCCCGGCATGTTAGGCATCTCATCCCACACATCCTCCACCCACTGACTCAGCTCCTGGGGGAGCTGTTACTGGACAGAGTCAATGTGAAGATCATGATGCAGTATGTCTCGGACGTCAACAACCTCATCCTGATGATGAACCTGCTCAAGGACTCCTCACGCTCCATCCAGTTCGAGGCCTTCCATGTTTTCAAGGTGAGGACCGGGTGGTGTCTTCTCAGCACATGGTGTGTGACTGGACCGATCGTGTGAGTGGCGACAGCTGCCTCTAGACTGGTGTTTGATGTGTCGGCAGGGGCCCATAGTGACTGCTGGGAGTAAGCAAGTTATTCTTGAGCTTGCTGCCAGGGACTTGGCTGGGTGATACTTGTCCACGTAATCTTTCAGCCTGCAGCTCAAGTCTTGTCCATCCCCCCCCCTCGCGCCCTCCCAAGGTCTTTGTCGCCAATCCCAACAAGACCAAGCCGGTCGCCGACATCCTTGTGAACAACAAGAATAAGTTGCTGACATATTTGGAGGACTTCCACAACGATAGAGGTGGGCAGGGAGGCGCTTGTGGTGGCGTATGGCAATTCTTGCTGCGACTGGGTCGATCACGGTCATTAGACGACCAGGGGTCAGGCTTCTCCAGGCTATCCGACCTGCGTAGACCCCACCCATGCATAAATACGCAGATGATGAGCAGTTCAAGGAGGAGAAGGCTGTCATCATCAAGGAGATCAGCATGATGCATGCCTAGCATTTCCGGCAGCCCTGTGCCTCTCCTTCCACCTACCTCTCGCCACGAGTACCATCTGCATGCGTCCTTCAGCTCACTCTGCCAATGTTACAGCGGGTTGCGGGCAGAGAGTGTAACAGCCTGGACATGAATGGGCATGCGATGCAGTGGTAGAGTAGAATGAAACATGCATATCTAGCTTGCGTCTAGTAGTTGCACTTTGTAGGGTGAGCCGGTGGGAAGGAACTTGCGCAAAAAGGGGTCAGCCATGCCTAGCGCCCTCATCTTCGGGCTTGAGAGGTTCATTTTGGTGCTACAAGCGAAATGATTTAGCGGTGTAGAAATGCTCACCAGCTGCAAGTGGGCACATCATGGAGAAGTGAGTATCATCCGCTGTCCATCTTCCCACCACCATCATCCTGCAGTGGAGCCTCCCTCCTGCAACATGCAGGTAGCCCAGCACGGGTGAGCTGGAGCATGGAGGGCAGTGAGGTTTTGACCATGGCGCCCAGCCACCCCTTTCTGCTTGGAGAAGACTGTGATGGGGCTGCATAGGTAGCTTCCCAGCAGAGGCTGCACATGACCTTGAGACTGCAGGCCTGCCCAGGCCAGGGGAGCTGCGAGTTGCGGCCAGGAGAGTTGCGATTTGCAGCCACGGGCTCAGCGCTGCGCCATTTGTGCTCCGGACCATCAGCAGGGATGAGCCTCGCTCGTCCCCAGGCCGACCGGAGGTCGCGCAGCCAGTCCTGCGGGGCGGTCACTTCTCGTGGCAGTCCTGCGCAGAGCAGGAAAGCCAGATCAGGGTCCAGCGCCGCGCAGTGCCGCTGTGATGCCGCGGCCAGTGCCCTGGCGCCAGGGCGGTTGCCGCCTGCAGCTCCGCCTCCCCCTGGCCCAGCATCATGATGATGCCCCCCTGCACAAGTCATTGCATTGGAAGGGGCTGGAGTGGAGGGCAGCCTGCAATCAGGGGTCCTGTGCCCAGACCCATGCAGGTCACCATGGATGGGCATGCAGAGCAGTGGAGCTCTGCGGGTGCAGGCCTCAGCACGAGCAGCACCGGCCGCATTGGATCAGTGCGTAGCCAGGGCGAGGCGCCCCCCTCCCCGGCCCTCGACACCCACCTTGGGCACTAGGAGCGCCACAGACCTCTCCAGTGCAGCTATGGCAGCGGGGCCAGAGATGCCAATGACCTGGTACTGGGGTTTCCCATCTTTGACGAGGTCGAGGTAGGCCTGCAGGGCTTCCCCCGGCTCTGAACCATCTGGCAGGGGAGCGGTGCGCTGTGCCCAGCGGCTTTCCAGCTGTGTTGCATTCTCCTGTGCCAGAGTCTGTGGGTCGGTGTCACCATGCAAGCCCGGCGATGCAGGCGCCGCAGATCCTCCGCCCAATCACTCCTCACCTGCTTGACGCGCGCTGCGATCTCCGCCACGGTGGCGTTGTGCTCTATGCTGACGAGGCCCGCCAGCTTGCCCTGGAGGAAGAGGGGGGTCAGCGTGCCCGTACCCCATTCCAGGCCCATCAGCTTGCCCTCACCGGTGGCCAGGTCGAGCAGGCGATACGCAGCGCGGGCCATGCCGGAATCGCACACCGGACCCTTGGAGGCATCCACCTGCCCCAGGGTCCAATCCCAGGGCGCGGGGCAGGCCACAAGGGGGGCCTGGGACTCTGCCCTGGCAGCCAGAGCTTCAAACTTTGCGGCCCTGCCTCCAGATGTATGCCCGTCCTTGGCTGCGAGTGGGTGGGAGCTGCCTGGGGTCAGGTGCCCCCCTGAAAATACAGAGGGTTCATCCCCATGGATCTATGACCAGGGCATGCCCTCCAAGGTATGTGCAGAGGGTGGGCTGGGGACGAGCAAGCCACGCGCGATGTCTGTGCCAAGCACCATGGGGAAAGCACAGCCACGACCCCAACAAAGAACATCTGCCAACAGGCTGATCTTGCCTGATATATTCTTCAATATGTTCGCGGCTTCAAGGCCGGAATAACTTGTTGCTGGGCGCCAGATCACCCTGCCCAGCGGGATCAGGGTCCACCCCACCAGAGCTGACACTATGACCACCAGGAATACGCGGGAGGCCCAGGCCCTCTGCCGCGGAGAACCCGATCGCAAAACAGATGCCCTCATGATAGGTTGCGCAATACAGGCATCGAGGTTGCCGGATGCAGGCGAAACGGTGGAGGTTCGAATACCGTTGTCTGTTGAGGGAAAGGGGGCCTGGCCGGCTCTCAGATGCTCCCTTGGCCCGCGAGCAAGGCGATGGGGTTTTGAAGGCGACAGTCCAACATCTCAGACTTGCTCGCTAGGCTCAACTTAGGAACATCCTGATCGAGCATCTTACAGGCTGCCGTTACCTGACTGACCGGTCGGCATCCCGGTCTCATGCTGGGGGTGCTGTGCATGCTAACAAAATGGCTGCTGCCTTGCCATGCACCATCTGGGCATGGCCACCCGTCCATGTGACGCTGAGTGGGACCGGCACAGCCCAAAGAGGTCGGCATGGAGAGCGGTGGAGGGGCCCACCGCCCACTGGGCTCCAAAAGTGTGCCCTGGGCTCAAGAGGGCCCCTGCAGCTGCTCAGGAAGCTGTCACCGCCCCCAGGCCCCCCTCATCAACGGGGCCCCTCCCCAGGGGCCAGGCCGCTGGGAGCCTACAGTCCTGCCATGCCATCTTCTGCACCCTGTAAAAGTAAGTCCAGTCCTTGCGCCGCGACATGCCGCTCCCGCGCGCCAGCTTCTGCGTGAAGTCCCACAGGCTCTTGGTGACGTAGTGCCGCAGTGCCAGTCTCTCCAGGCAGGGCGCCGCCGCCGTGTAGCGCGGGATGGCCTCGCCGCAGGTGTTTGTCGTCACCCTGCCCCCCGTGTAGTTGGCGTGGTGCACGGACTGGAAATGCTGTGCAAACTCCGTGTTAAGGATGGACTTGACGTGGCGGTCCTCGCCGGACCGTACCGCGCAGCACATGTGGTAGTCCTCCACGATGCGGCCGCTGGGACGCCTGATGCGCCCCGCTGAGACAGGGAGAGGAAGTGGGGGCGAGGTGGGAGACGGGGAGCATGGAAGGGGTGGCCGGGAGCTCCAGTGCAATGGGCACTCCGGATCGCACACAGGAATGACTGCCTCTGAGAACATGGTGATCAGGCGACCCAAGAAGCTGTCACTGCAAACATGTGTCCGACGGCGTGGGGTACAGTGTGCCCTTGAATCTTGAGTGCCGTCCACCCCCTTTCAGAGCCTCCCCTTTACCCAGGCCTGCACCCCAGCCCCCACCTGCCCCGAAGATCCGCCAGTGCACCCCCAGACCCCCCAGGTGCTCGTAGTCTGCCAGGATGGAGCGGAGGGAGGCGGCGGGCTCCAGCACCGTCAGGTACTCGTCGGCATCGATGAAGGCTGCGGGGATGGGTCGACGGGCTGATAGAGGTGCACATTGCTGCAATTCAGGCACAGCGCGGACATCCAATCGAGGAGGGCAGAGGGACCATGCGTGTTCGACAGGATGTGAGCGGCCGCTTGGAGGGTGCAGGGAGTAGGCCGGCATGCACCGCTACAAACCCTTCATGCACAAGCCAGGCAGGTCCCAGGAAGCCAGGCTGCCTCTCTTCTGCATATTCGTCAAGCCAGGCACTGGAGAGCACCTCCCAAACCCCCTTGCTCACGAGCGGCATAGACCCCCATGACCCACCGCACCCATCCAGCGGTGCTTGTGGCGGTGGTCACGCAGGCACAACTCGTAGGCCTGCAGCTGCTTGAAGTTCGGCGGGATTTTCAGCCCGCTGTTCTTCAGGAGGTCTTCACGGACCGCGGCCATGCTGACGTGGCGGTGCTCCACCACGCCAGACTGCACCGGCGTGTGGGTGGGCGGTGCGGAGGATTCACTCATCGTGGATGCGATCAAGGGGGCACAGGGGGAGGGGGTTGCAGTGGCCTGGAGACGGGTGGGGCAGGCACGGGCCGGAGACGGCCAGCCACTGGCAGCGGGGTTTCAACACCCTGCAGCAGCTCCCAGGCCTGGCTGCAGCCACACCTGGATGAGGCCGGCCTTCTCCAGCTCTGGCTGCATGGAGTCCAGGCCCATGTCGATGATGTAGATCTTGTCGATGCCCCGCGCCTCATGGTAAGTGGCCCAATCAACGATATCACGGTGTTCGTCTGCAGGGAAGGGAGGGGATGACTGTGATAAGGCACAAAAATAGGGATGACACATGCACCAAGAAGAAGTCCGTCATGTGTGATCCTCCAATTGGTAGCCTGGCTGAGCGAGCAAAAGGAAGTCTTTGGCCCCAAATCTTCAAGTCCTCACTTGCAGCCGAGAGGCATATGGCCATGTAACCAGCATCCGTATGTGAGGGCCAATCTTGAGTCCCATCATTTGCGCCCGCTGCGTCCTGTGTTTTGCAGGGTGCTGGGAGCCCTTACTTGCCGATAGTCGGGGCCCCATGACTTTAACCGGATCGACCCGAGCCCTGATCCAACCTGCAGGCCTGCTGTTCCGATCAGCAAAACGATTAGTACGAGTTGCATGGCCTCAAGCAGGTCGATACACGGAGGTTAGAGGCTTTGTGCTTCCGACAGGAATACTACCCTGCGGGGGGGACATAGGTCGATCGAGGTAAGGTACACCTATTTGCACATGCCTAGGAATCCTCTGCATAACTAAGATTGCAAACCGGCTTCAGATGGGCCTGTCGTCCTCATGCACGCAGTACCTGGGCACCAGAGTTTCGCGGCGACAGGGTAACCGAAAATGGGAAATTTCGATTATGTGAGTTTCCGAAACTTTTCAAGCTGAAAACCCCGCCAAATCGAAAATTTTCGGGCTATATTACATCAGGCGCTTCATGCAAGGGGGAGGAGGGGGAGGGGGGGCGAGGAGGTAAGATGCTTGGTCAATTGAGTGTTTTACTCTGCCTCAGAGAGCATGCCATCGTCCAGGAGATACTCATCGTGAAAGAGCTCACTCAACGGGCAAGTTTTGTCCAAGGCACGCAGAAAACGGGAGTTGGCATAGATGTATACCAGATCCATTGCACATTCTGTGAAGAGCCGATTCCGCAACTTGCTGTGAACATATTGGTACTGACTCCAATTGCGTTCACATGCAGAGGAGGAAGATGGTTTGCTCAACAAGCGATATGCAACACGGAATAAATGGGGATGGCGGCTGCCATACGTTTTCCACCAATGGTGGGCACTCATCCCCTGGCGGTAGAGAAGACATGAAGATGCCAAAGTTTCCTGGGAACTTACCAGCTCGGAATGCACTTGGAAATAGTCAGAAGGGTTTGGGAAGAACTTCTTGAAAACCTTGTCCAGGCCGTCATGAACCTCGCCTGAGTGCAGCTTCAAGAGGTGCAGAGGGTGGAGTCTGTGCGCCGCCATGTGCAAATCTCCTATCATCATCCTCCTCCGATTCTTGAAGGATGCCATGACCGCCAACTTTTCAGTCGAAGGTATGAGCTCTGATGAGACCAGCAACGCCTCCACTGCCTGCAATTGACCGACTAGATCTCCCAGAAAGGCCGAACTTGCATCCACCTGCCGCAGTAGCGTCACGAGGGGCCTAGGGCAATGGGCAGGTGATCCGTGAAGCTGTCAGCAGATTAGAAGTTTTTGCAAGCCAAGGACATCTAGCTGAACCCAGACAACTGCACATCACCTGGCAAGGTCCAACAGGGCCTGAGCTTTGTCGTTCCATGAGATGTCACAGATTTTTGGTGCATGGTCTCCAGCTTCACGTCTCTTGGCTGGAGGTAATTCTGTAAGCCACTGATGCCATGCATCCGAGCCTACCATTCTCCTCAGCTTCCCATTCACATCCAGATACCTGTCCAGCATCAGGAACTTTGAACCAAACCGAGTTTCACCTACAGATACAAAAATGAAACATCAAAGTTAGGCAGGCTTCTTGTCCAGGTGATGTCACACCTCATGCTACACCAAACTCACCAGGTACAAGAAGTCCCCGGTCAGAATGCTCTCTTAAAAGGTGCACAGCTGTTGCATGGTTGGTCATGAACTTGCAGATCTGGTGGCATGGATCCAGAATCTCCGTCACCCATTTCATCTTGCCCAAATCTTTCAGGAAGAGGTCCACGGTGTGCGCTGCACATGACACCCACCAGATGGTGGGATATCTGCAAGAATGGTGAGTGTAAAGGATGGGGGTGGGTGAATGTAAAGGCTGACTACATCAGTGTGCACAGCAATATTGGGGCAGACTTCTGAGTGCCCACATACCGTTCATGAATAATTTCCCCGGCTCTCTTGCAATTAGCAGCATTGTCTGTGATGACAAGTTGCACATTCTCGACCCCAATCTCCTTGATGACAGCTTCCAATTGCTCCACAAGGAAATCTGCAGTTTTGCATTTGCCAGCGGTGTCCACGCTCTTGATGAAGCGCCCTCCCTTGCTTGTAACAGCCAGGAAGTTCAATAAGGGCTTCTTGGCTTGGTCCTGCCAACCATCCATCACAAGGGCGATGCCCTGCACAGTTTTTACTGTGCAAGCTTGTAAGGAGGGAAACATACCTCTGAAAGACTCCCGAGCAGAAATGTAGTCATCAAGTCCGCATGGATGGCACTTCACCTCTTCTTTCTCAGTGGTGAGGGTGGGGATCAGGCTGTCATTGATCAACTGGACCTCGTCAGCCAGCATCTCTTCACGCAGATCTGCCTGCTTGGGAATCTTGAAGGGGCCCCCAGTGCAAACAAGATGATTGACCATCTGGACAAACTCAGGGGTCTCCACCTGCAGACAGAAAGGTGGATGTTGTCAATGTGGACTTCAATTGTTTGCATCCCTCGCAATGGGCTCAGATTGGCACGTTACCTTGAAGAAGGGCACGCCCTGACGATAGAAAACTGTGCGATTGACCGCCTGGCCTGTGCTGCACTTCGGCTCCCCATGAAGTCTGTAATTCTGGTCTGCCGATCAGGGTTCCTATGAGGTTCTGAACTGTCGGCCACTGAACTTCTCGAGGGCATGGATGTGTGACTGCGCTTGCATGGAGTGTTGAGCTGCTTGACACGCTTGACTGCCACCAAGAGCGCTTCCGGAGTCTTGCTGCAAGTCTTAACAGTAGCTCCACCCAAGAAGTGTTGCTTTTGCCTCGTAAAATTTGCGGCAATTCCTCGCCTGTAGTAACGGCACTCAACTTTGTTGCAGCTACTGCAAACCTCCTCATTCACGGGTTCGAATGCCTCTGCGGCAAGCTTCTGAAATGTCTTCATGGTACTTGCACATTGCTTGCCAACCTTTGGGGTTGGTTTCAGATTACATGAGTGCTTGTGTGCACACTGACTTAGCCCGCCCAAACCATCCTCACTGTGCGCTGGGCGGGCCCAGCCCCGTGGGCCACTGCCATATCAGCACGAAACTTCGGAGTCGAATTTCGAAAATGTGATTTTCCCGAAAATTTCGCGCCGTTTTCCTCGAAACCCGCAATTTCGGTTAACCTGCGCAGCGATGATGACGCGTGGGTGGGGCCCCCAACATCGTGCCCTGTCCGGTGACCGCAATACAGCACTACTACCAGCGCTAAGCGCACAACCACCCGTTCCTTGTCCAGTTGGCTGTTGGAAACCCTCAAAGATGCTCTATCAATCTCTGTGCTGAGAGCGATATCGCGGATCACTCGGCGATACAAGTTCGCTTGTGGATCTCGGGAGCCAGCCCCGAGGACCCATCCTCCTTGAGGCCCTCATCCAGTGTGGTCCACGGCTGTTTCCTAAATCTGCATTGCTTTTGAAGGGTGCACAGCTCCAAGCGCGACGTCCGATAGCCCTGACCCCGTATACCTCCCCTCGCCCACGGTGTCCTTGACATGGCCCCCGCCACCAAGTTGATCCGAACCGTTCTCGTCTGTGTGGCCGCCTCGGGTGTGCTGGGAATATTTGGTTCCTTTGGCTGCGGCTCTGCGGTGTTTCAGGTCACAGCTTGCCCACCAACTGCACCCAGTTTCTAGCCAGCTCATTGCCCTCTCCTCCACCACCTCATCCTCACCCCATCCCCCTGTCATCTCCTCCAGCCTTCCTCCTCTGGGTCGGGAGGGCCCTCCTTTGCAACGAGGATCTGGCCCTGCCGCGCGTCGCGCCCAGCCCTCAAGCGCAGATCACAGGCACGCCGGACTCCGATGCCTCGTGCTCCATCTACGTCCTGGACCCGGTGCAGGATCTGGGCCTGCCCCGGTGCAACTTTGCAGACCCCGCCGTCTGGCCCTTTGCCGCCCCAAACAACAAGCTGCAGGCCTCCGGGCCGCTGCAACACTGGGAGCAGCAGCACGCCGTCAACTACTGGGTGGCACAGGCCATCGCAATGAGCGGGTACCAGACCAACGACCGACATGGCGCTGACATGGTGCGAGGTTAGGGAAGGATAAAAGAAGGGATGTGGGAAGGCTGGGACCATGCACATGCTTGCCAGAGGCAGAGAGGCTTATGGTTGTAATCGGCCGGTTTGTGGCTACCCTGCCTGGCCGTCGGGCAGGCAGGAAGGGTGGGCCGGCCCGCCGGGGATCCTCTAACAGACGTGTGCATGGCGGCATGAATGTCGGCTGCCAGACCCGAGTATGCTGCCTGCCCGTCGCCTTTCTGCCTCTACCTGAATTCCCCACCACCCCTGCTGCCTGGAGTCACGAGCAGACCCTCAAGAACACCAACGCACTCCCCCCTTCCCACGCCCACAGCACCCCCGTCCACACACACTCACACTCTCAGATCTTCCTGAACACGCACTGCTTCGAGGCGTGGCGCCTGGGCTGGCTGTGGAACACACTGCCGGAGAGGAAGACGCGCAGCATCATTCCCATCCCAGACCTCCAGCTGCAGCCGGTGCTGCAGCACCTGCACACCTGGCCGCAGTGGCGCGCCGACAACGGCGCGCACATCGTGGTGACCCCCTTTTACCCCGGCACCCCCAACTCCACCGTCAACCTCCTGCGCCCCTGCAAGTGAGCCTGCGACGGGCGCGGGCATGGGGCGGGGTGGGTGGGGCCTGGTGCCTGGCGGAGGGGAGGGGTGTGGTGAGCTGGGACGGCGATCTATTGGCCGTGGGGCGCCTGACGCTCGGGCCGGCAGGGGTCCTCTCGGGCCCGTGCAGTCCCATGCCTCCCAGCCACCTGTTCACAGCTCTGCCGTGCACTCCCGCCGCAGCCATGACTGCCTCCCCTCCCTGCCAAGGATCTCCCCCCACCCCAAACTTGCGCAGCTCCTCCGTCTACTCCCTGGTCTCCACGCACAAGTCCTTTTGCAAGAAGGGCCTGCAACATCACAACGACCAGGGCCTCATCCTCCCCTTTGTGACATGTGAGATGGAGGGCGGTGGCATGCATCGGTAACCAGGAGGGGAGGGACCACAGTGCGAGGTGCGGCTGGGTGTACTGCAGCCGGCAGGGGAGCTGCTTGACGGCCGAGGCCGGGAGACTGCTCTCCAGCAGCCGCAGCAGTCTGGGCAGGCTGCTGCGGTCCGGGCCGGCAGGGGCCTGCACGCCCCGCCAGGCTGCCGCGCCCAACTCGGACACCCCACCCCACCACGCAGCCATTCCCAACGAGGGGCCGGAGGTCCTGAAAACGAAACGGGACATCTTTGTCTTCTACCGCGGCGGGTGCTCGCACCCCTCCCTCGCGGAGAAATTCGTTTGGGGGTGAGGGCAGAGGGTCCTGTCGTGGAGGGCTGGGATTATTTCATTGGGCGTGGCCCTGGGCTGTGAGGTGTCTGTCTCCTGTTTTTTGGAGGGGTTTGCAAAGGCACTGCGAGTTGAAGACTGCCCCGGCACGATCATGGCCATGAATGGCCCTGCCCGCAGCCCTCCTCAGCAGCAGAGCATCTCCAGCCAACCTGGCAGTCCACACTGCACTGCCCCCCTTTCCCCCCTGGCCCCCGGCGCTTCCCCCTGGGCCCTGCTCTTGCACCGGGGTGCGCCTGCCATACTTCAACCCCCCTTCCCCACTGCCTCGTGCCAGCCACCTCACACGCTCCCCCTCCCCACACACACACAACCACGCAGCAAGATCCAGCGGCGGGCGGTGGTGCAGGCCCTGACCGCCCTGAACAAGCCGGACCTGGACCTGTCCTGCGCCTGCGACATCTGCCCTGGCGCCCTCGACCACGACGAGACCCTGAGACGCATGCTGCGCTCCACCTTCTGCCCCGTGCTGGCGGGGGACGCGCAGACCAGCCGGCGCCAGGTGGAGGTGATCCTGTCCGGCTGCGTCCCCGTGTACGTCGGCCCCGGCTGGCACACCCTACCCCTGGCCGACGCCATCGACCACGCCGCCTTCAGCGTGTTCGTGCACGTGAAGGGAACGGTGCCCTGGATCGTCACCGACCCGGCCAAGCGCACGGCGCTCAACGGCCCCACCCTTGAGCGGGAGTGGTACATGGACGCGGAGCTGGGGCCGGGGCAGGTGCTGGAGGTGGAGAGCGTGGCGGGGATCGAGGCCGCGCTGCGCGCGCTGCCGCCAGAGGTGCTGGCCGCCAAGCAGGCCGCGCTGCGCGAGGCGTACGGCCAGTTCTCCTACCGCCCCGCGCCGGGGGAGATCCAGTCCGGCGCAGGGCGCATCATCGTGGAGAACATCTGCAGGCGCGCGCGCGCGGTCAAGCGCCGGAGGCAGCTGGACAATGCGGCGGCGCTGGCGGCCGAGGCGGCAAAGGTCGAGGCGGCGGCGAAAGCGGAGCCTGCGAAACCCTAGGCCATGAGATGCGCATCCCCAGGCGATGAGCCGCTGACCCCAAAGGCGGTAAACCACTGACACCAAGGCCATGAGCCAGCATGCCCGTGGGCCATGCCCAGCAGCAGACCGCTCTCGGCTTCCATTCACCCTGCCTCACTGTGAGCCAAAGTGCATGGCCTGATCGACAGTATGCGCATCGTACACCCATTCACCCCTCATCCCGCTGTTGTTGCTCTTGCGCATACTACCAAGCATGATTGAAGGAAGGGAGGGTTGCAAGCAGCGATGGCATGACAGCCTGAGACACGGCACTGGAGAGAGGGCAAACTACGTAAAGGGGAGGTTTTGAGGTTTGGGGGAGGCACAGGGGTGTGCACGAGGAGGGGGGTCCAGGGTACAAGCACACGCCGGCTGGAGCTCCATTTCAGGTGGGTTGGGGGGAGCGGTCCGCACATCAGACGGCTGCGCGGTGGGATGTACTGGCATGTAGGGTGGGGGAAGGTTGCCTCCCGGCCATCCCCACAGCCAGGTTCTGGGGCATGGCACAGGGAGACCTGCCACAAGTGGAGCTCTAAATATATGCGATCAACGTGCGAACTGGGATGTTCGAGGGCCTGGGAGCACATGGAGCCATCTTGCCGTGTACTCGGGTGTACAAAGCCCCCCGTGGCCTTGGCTTTGTCATTGACTTGCGGTGGCAGCATGTCCGGTGGACTCCCCGGACTGCCAGGTGGCTGTGCCTTTAATCATTTGGAGCATTGGTCTTGGGCCAAAGACAATGCCCCTGCTCAGTGCTGCACCGAGGCCGCAGTCACACAAGAGGGGCCTTGTTATTCGCGCCGGGTGTATCTGACCCGCTGTCGTTCTGCTGCGAGGATTGTCGGTGGGGGAGGAGGGCTGATGAGATGGACTGATGACAGGGCATTCCTGGGAACATGGGTCCAGTGCTGGGGGGTGTTTACATGCTCAATCCCCTCCCGCACACCCCTCTGACGCTGGCTCGAGCCTCCCCTCCGCTCAGAACGACTGACCAAGCCCCTCGCACACACACACCTTCTGCATGTCGGTGCTGTAGTCCTTGGTCATGTGCATGCTGGTGTCCTGGCTCTGCAGCGGGTCCTTGCCCTGGGGTTTGCTGGAGTAGCGCACCGACGGCTCGGCCCCCTGGACAGAGAGGTCGGGGGTGTCGGGCTCCGGCACGGTCAGCCCCTTCTCGTCGGGGAGCAGGAGGTTGAGGACGATGGCCGTCAGAGCTCCCAGCCTGCAGGGCAGGGGGGGACTGGGTGATCGAGAGCTGGCATGCTTTCAGAAGCGGCCCCTCGACTCCCAGCAGATCGCAAGTGGCTGCCTCAGTGCGGCCCGCTCCTCCCCCTTGATCGACCTCCTCCCTGCCGCCCGATCAAGACCCTACCCCCACCCCCACCGCCTCACGTGAATCCGGTCTCCAGGATGAGGATGAGCGCGTCGCGCACGCCCTGCACCCCCTCGCTCAGGTTTGGGTTGTTCCACAGGTTGTTCTGGGCCCAGTTGGGCACCAGGGTGACCCCGATGCCCAGTGCCAGGGCGCAGGCGATGACGAAGCGGTTGCGGCGCGTGAAGTGCTGGCTGATCATGATCTTGATCCCCGAGGCGATGACGTTGGCGAAGAGGAAGGTGGTCATCCCCCCCAGCACGCAGTTGGGGATGGTGGTGATGACGCCGCCAAACTTCCCGATCAGGCCGAAGATGAAGAGCCAGCCCGCACAGGCCCAGCCCGCCTGGCGTGAGGCCACGGCGGTGAGGGCGATGATGCCGTTGTTCTGGGCAAAGGTGGTGAGGGGCAAGGAGGTGGCCAGCGCAGAGAAGATGCCGGAGATGCCGTCGTTGAGCAGCGCGCCGCGGGTGCGCTTGTTGTGCGCGGGGCCCGAGGTCTGGAGGAAGGATGCCTCCTCGGTGGCGGCCACGTCGCCCACCGTCTCGATGCTGGTGATGGTGAAGACGATGATGAGGGGCAGGACCGCGGGGCCGTAGACGTTCAGCGGGAAGGTGTGGACCCAGAGGAAGGTGATGGCCGGCGCGTTGGCGATCTTGGTGCCGGTGACGAAGCGCTTGCCGTCGGCGCGGGTCACGCCCGCCAGCATGTAGCCGAAGAGGAGGGAGATGATGACCGCGCAGTTGCGCAGGAAGGGGGACCCGAACAGCTCGATGATGACCAGCATGACGAAGACGGAGAAGCCGAGGCCGACGTAGGGACCGGAGCCAAAGGGCAGCATGACGTCCCCGTTCCCGCTGCACATGATGGGCACGTTGGTGTAGCAGGTGCTCAGCGTGGTGACCTCCCCCGAGGTGGCGTTGGTCACGGTGCAGGGGCCGGCCTGCGGGATCCACAGCCCGTCGGCGTAGGTGTTGCAGAAGGAGCCGCCGCCCCAGTTGGCCATGCCCGCGCCGGTCAGGTTGATGCCGATGAGCACGATGGTGACGCCACAGACGATGGGGGGGAAGATGCGCTTGAGCACGCGGGGGGGGAAGAATGAGATGACGACGGGCGTGATCCCCACGCAGGCCAGCGTGCCCAGCAGGTAGCCGTAGGCCTCGCGGAAGGTGTGTCCGTCGGCCATCAACGCGCTGATGGTGGAGACGGCGATGGGGTAGGTGGTGAAGGAGATGCCCATCACCGACAGGATGCCCGCGCCCCACTGCCGTCCGTAGGGCAGCGGGATGCCCGTCACCTGTGCCGTGTGTGGAGGGGGGTGGGAGGGGATTTGTGCGTTGGAACTCCCTGGGGGACCATGGGCACTGGGGGGCAGGGGCTGGCACGTGGCGTGGGAGCCTGGTGGACACATCGCCGCCCAGCACACGCAGCACGACTGCCAGCCCCACCTACACCCACCCAGCTAACCTTCGCCACCCACCTGGATGGCGGTCATGATGGAGGTGACCAGGAGGGCGGCGGAGACGAGGTATTGGGCGATGGTGTCCACGTCTGTGGTGCTCAGCGTGGGGTCATTGGCCGCGTATGCGGAGATGAGCAGGGGGGGGGCTGAGGGGTCCGGGGAGTTGAGGAGTTAGGGTTAGGGTGTGTTGGAGTCTTCCGGGTTGGTTTCTGGCTGGTCAGGCTGCCAGGCTGCATGCAGGCCAGAGGCAGTCTGGGCGTGGGACCTGGACCATATCACCCAGCTCCAGGCGGCTGCCTGCTGTCGTCCCGTCGCCCCTTCTCGGAGGGCGCCGCCCTGCTGCAAGGCCATCCCATGTGGGCTGTTCACCATCTCCCCCCTCCCTGCATGCCCTTCCCCTGACGATGCGCGCTTTCCTCCTTGCCCGTGCCGCTGGGCGGCGACGTGCCCATGGTGTTGCAGTGAAAGAACTCGGTTGAGAGCTTGGGTCAACAGAGGCACGGCGAGGGACTTGTGGGCGGCGAGTATGGAGGGCCTTACTGCGGCACAGAGGCAGCAGATGGGTCACACTGGCTTCCAGTCTGACGCAGACGCAGGGGCAATCCCTCTTCTGCCGCTCGGTACACCATCCTGGGGCAGGCCAGCCGCCGGTACCCCAGACTCCATCGTCATCAGCTGGACAGGGCGGCGGCGATGGAGTCCAGCTCGTCCTCCTCCTCCCCGGTCAGGACCTCCACCTCCTCCTCCTCGCCCAGATCGGGCCCATCCTCCTCCTCGTCCAGCTGCGACTGAGTCTGTGTGGAGGGAAGGGAGAGGAGGACGTGCGTCAGGAGGCCCGCAACGCTGCTCCACAGGGTAGTCCACAAGCATTCTGTCGAGGCTTAGATACTCAAATCCCAAGCGCGAAAAATACAAGCCTGGCTCAGGCAGTGCTGTAGGCAGGCCGCTTGCCGTGAGGCAGCATTTGGTTGCGCCCCCCCTGCCATGCTCACGGGGAAGGTGTAGTTCTCCGCCTCATACGGCCTGCCACTGACGCGTGCCAGGGTTTCCAGGTCCCTGGGGAAGGGGAAGCGGGGCATGTTGGCGATAGGTGCCGGAGTCGCCTGTACCAGAGGCCTTTGGTGTCCCTTGCATCCACAGCTCAGCTTGCATGCGCCCAACCATCTGCGTCCCTCCCTGCACCACGAGCACCTCACCCTCGCCCCCCCCCCCTTCCCAACACACACACACACACACACGCCACCCTTTCCTCACGTGATGAGTCCGCCGACCATTGCCATGGCGTGCTGCAGGCCCATCACCATGGCTGTGAGGATGCCGAGCCACGCGTCGGTGGCGAAGAAGGTGGGGGGGTCGCGCTTGCCCGCCTTGAAGGGCCACACCGGCATGCACAGGTATTTCTGTGATGCCGGGTGCAGGTGGGTGTGGGGATATGGAGGGGTGAGGTAGGGACATGCATGCGCGGCAATGGTAGGATGCTACCAGGGAATCTGGAGCATTTCTGAGGCATTGTACATGCCCCTGTTGCGACGTCGCTTGTCAGCAGACTTCCCTGAGATCCCAAGGGAGGGGCCAGAGGGCAACTCCCCTGTGACCCACCCGACCGACCGATCGCCCTGCTTACGTAATCATAATCGCCAAGGAGGATGTAGTTGTACCTCTTCTCCCTCCACGCAGTCATAAAACGACCCATATCTGCAAATGATGTGTGCCGCAGGCGGTGAAGGCCTGACGACATCGGGTTGGGGCCTCATGGATGGGATCGCGAGGAAGCCCTAACCCCGGCCCAATCCCACCCGAGTCGACGGGGCATAACCAGGGTGGGTCACCTCCCCCGACATCACGGTACCATATCACATGGCGAGTTCCCACCTGCAAGCGCACGTTTGTGCTGCCTGGAGAGATTCCGCAAGACTCTTCAGGTCCAGCCCTAGTGGCCGTCGGGATATCAAAGTCTAGAGGGTCTCCAGACAATACTGAGGACTGAAATCTGGATGGATTAGACGCTATTCTTTCAGAATATAGTATAATAAGGAGTATGCTTTTGTGTTCATTGGTGTTTGATGAAAACCCTTGTAACTAGGGCAGCAGAGAGGGTTTTCGTCGAGCACCCACGTGGGCATTTCCGACCCTTCTTCTTTGGCGACAATACACGAAACGGGAACGGCAATCAAGCATTGTACGAGAGCAAGCTTATCCAGCATTCGCAGTGGTGTTTAGCTCTCAAAGAACGTTGTGAAACAGGTTCCTGTGCTTGTTCTGGCCATTTGCCCTCGTGACCGGGGACCCTGATTCTCTCGGTGCTGGTCACGGCCACGCAACACACTTTCCCTGCTACAATCTCCTGCAGTAATCCACTTGGATTGGTTTATGCAATTCTAATGATTCGTGGGTTCCACGACACCATGAAAGGAAGTTGAGGACCCGAGTCAGTTGGCGATTAAGGTGGGGCGGGATAAGGTGCCATCCTGACCCTCCCTTATGATGGTGGGCACAGGCAATCCACCCCTGGGACACTCCGACAGCCTCAGGCGATGGACTCCATTATCAACAACACATACTGGCCTGGGAGGTCCCGCTGTATTCCATGAGCACGAGTTCAATATAACAGGGTTGGCAGCAGGCATCCTGGACAATGGGCCTGCACAAGCGGAATGTTTGTCAGTAACCTCGCCAAGGGCAAGCACAAGCGGGTGAAAAATAGGCAGGGGTCAGTCGGCGAGCAGGGTCCTCCTCCGGTGCGGGATGGGGTGCGGGGGAATGATGTCACGGTCCTTGAGCATCTGGGCATGGTCGCACAGCCTCTTCACCACGATCTCCCCCAGCTGCGACCTGGTCTCCCCCGGGGGCGGCAGCCAGTACTGCCGGTAGGCCTGCCGCGCCAGCGCGGCCTGCTTGGCGGCCAGCACCTCGGGCGGCATGCCACGCAGCACCCCCAGAACCTCGGCCAGGCTGTCCACCTGGATCACGCTGCTCGGCACCAGGTGAGCGTCCAGGTACCAGGAATTCAGCACATCGGGGTGGTTGTCCGGGACGCCCAGCGAGGCATTGGCCACCACCCAGTCCGCACGACGAACGGAAACGAAGACGCTGGAGGCGCCGTGGTCGATGTCGTCGGCCAGGGCCACTGTGTGCCAGGGCGGGCCAACGAGCACGGGGACGCAGCCGGAGAGGGCTGCCTCGCTGCCGCGCCGGCTGGAGGGCTTGTCACCGGCCAGCACCAGGCAGAAGCGGGAGTCGCGCATGCGCGCCAGCACCTCCGCGTGCGGCAGGGCCCCGGGACAGAGGTCACAGGCGCACTGCACGTCCAGGTCGGGGGCGGGGGACGCCTGGATCGTATCCACCAGGGCACGACGCAGCAGCTTCCTAGTGGCAGTTGCGGCGCGGGGGGGGGGGAGGGGAAGTGAGGGAGGCATGGGAACTTAGCAGGCAACTGCCGGGCAGCTTCTTGCAGGGCTCGCTGGGCATTCGGGGCGGGCCCTGGGGTCTCAGGGCTCCCCAGCGTTCAACAGTATCACCATACAAGGCTCACCCGGATGCAAAGTGGAGGGCCGCCGGGTCGTTGGGGGGCGGGGCACACCCGCCGCGGTAGAAGAGCAGTGTGTCGCGGGTGGTGGCGAGGGGATCAAACCCCTCCTGGTGGGTGTCTGCGGGTGGAGCGGGGGCGGTGTGTGTGTGTGTGTGTGTGTGCCAACACGCACAAGCTACTGGGATGGTGCGGCAACAATGCCAGAACCAGGAAGCCTGCAGGCCAGGGGAGGCTCGCATGCACATGTCGTCGCAGAGTGTGGGGTCCCTCATCACAAACACCCAAGGACCGGAGCCTGCTCGGGACCAAACCTGCGCACCTGTCACGTATGGCAGGATCAGTCCCTGTCGGGCATGCGCATCGAGCGACTGCTCGCAGAACATGGTGTGCTCGGAGGTGATGATGAAGGGGGAGGCACTGTGCGGGATCAAGAGATGGGGACTTGGAAAATCCAATGAGGTTGGAGGGTACATTGTGTGTATGATTTCTGCATCACAGTGATGCGCTGGATAGACTCCTGTGTGCAAAGAACCATACGAAGGCAAGCCAAGGGGGGCCATGGGTAGGGTGGGAGGCGGTGAGCAAGGCATGGGAGGCCTGATCCTGTGTTCCTCTTGATCATGCTCCCCCTGAACCAAGAACTCTCGGTCCCAACGTCAGACCAGGACGCTCACGCTGCCCAAACAGTCTGGCGCGCAGGAGATTTCCATGAGAAAGTGGGTCCGCCCAATGGGACCGACCGAACCCCAGGCACATAAGTGAGCAAGCCCGTGCACCTCTCGCACCTGCATGGTCTCTGCGCATCCAGGGTTTCGGTGGGTATCGCCGGGAAGTAGGGTGCTATGACAAACCTGGAGCCATTGCTGTGCCTCCACTGAGGCCAGGACCTGAGGTGGTTCATCGTCTGCTGCATGTAGAGCTCCGGATCGGCACCGTCCAGAACTTTCTCCCTGAAGACCTGCCACCACTTCCCCGCCCTCCAGGTCTCGTAGCAATGCATGTTGACGTATATCTGGGGACAAGGGGGCGGGGCAAGGGGTGAAGGTGCAGGGAGGACCTCTCCCCACGTCCAGGCCCTTTGTTCCGAGGAAACATGCTCCTGCTGGCAAGGAGACGAAAGTGATACCAACAGCACACAACCTATTCCGACATGCCCTGCATGCACCTTGGCAGCCCTCTGCCTGATCCCAGTCCATCCTCCCCTCCCACCAGATCTGCACTGGCCAGCCTGTCCGCGCGCGCCCCATTGTCGATGATAGCCTGCTCCAGCCAGAACTGGACCGCTTGCTGGTACTCCCAGTGTTGGAGGGGCTCGGTACCACCCAGGAGGCCAGTCACCTTGAGGGCGTGGGGCCAGACAGCGGGGTCCGCGTAATTGCAGGCGGGCATCCCCAGATCCCGGGCGGGATCCAGGACGTAGATGGAGCAGGAAGCCTGCTCCACCGATTGAACAGGGCCTATGAGCACGGAGCCGGAGGTCAGCTTGAATAGACGCTTAGACCAGATCCCTTGGCCTGCCAAGCCGACGAGAGAGAAGAACAGGAACCCTGCGCGGTGGAGGGGGAGGGCCGGATCGAGACACCGCAACGCGTTAGAGCAGAAACTCGGCCCCCGCTTCGATACCCATCAAGAGAATTAACATTTTACCTGTGGTGAGAGGCAGGATCTGGAGAATGTGCGGCATTTGGCCACCTTCCGTGTGAACTTCACTCGAGCGGGCGTGCGGCCCATAGGGGAATAACACAGCCAGTCAGCATCGAGAGTTGGCAGGGCTTCGTCTAACAGATCCAACTCCTGACAATTTTAGACGCTGCGAGATCTTCCTTGCCTGGGCATGCTGCCACATCCTTCATTTTGCGTGACGGAACCGTCCGGGGCGGGAACGTCACGTGAACTCTTCCCACCCGACCTTACCCCTGCAGCAGCAGGCATAGTAAGCCATGCGGCTTGTGTGGCACCATCTCATGCTCCGAAACGATTACTCTCCCTCTCTGTGACACATGGATCGAGCACTTAGTTGTACACAGATTGACCTGAGATGTAAGTGGACATTAGCTTAAGTCAGCTCCCCATGGGGCCAATCATACAGAGCCAGGAAAGCTGATGGGAGAGGGAATTGTCACACAGAGATGGCCGAGTCGAAGCGTGGGAACAGGTACCTGGAAAAGCAATTTCTGCTGCCCGGCCCTCCATGTGCCTCACAGGGCTTCATGCAGCAGGGAGGGGTGGGCACCTGTCTGGCTCCATGTCCCCTGTCCATCGCTGGCATTTTATTTGACCTGCGGAGTCCTCACCCCTCTGGCCTGCCCAGAGCAGAGTAGATCCTAGGAGATTGCTTGCTGTGATTACCCATGCCCTTTGGAGGCCGCGCCATAGACGCCCAGGGTCACCATCTCCCACCGTCCAGCCGGTGGCGCACGGAGTGTGGGGCGGCATGGCCTGATGAGCGGCGGCGGTGTGCGGCTCTCCGCGGCCTCCTGAATACCAGCCCCGGCGCTGCAGCACTCTCCATGCGGTGATCATCTGTAATGACCCGCTTGAACGGATCCTTGTACCACTACGACGACGGAGCCTACACGAGATGCCATTAAGGGAGGTGGAGAACCTTGTCCGTGGCGAGGTGGATAGCATTAGGGTCACAGCGGCCTTCACATGCCGGATTCTATGAGAGACCACCGGGCACCTATGTATCCTCAGGCGCCGGACCCCATAGGCACAAGAACCGGCTCGATCCTTTTGGAATGAAATATCAGTACGACTTCAGTATATGAGGGTGTCATCAAGCATCATGGACCCGCACAGGCGGAATGTTTGTCAGTAACCTCGTCAAGGGCAAGCACAAGCTGATTAACCCAGGCAGGGGTCAGTCGGCGAGCAGGGTCCTCCTCCGGTGCGGGATGGGGTGCGGGGGAATGATGTCACGGTCCTTGAGCGTCTGAGCATGGTCGCACAGCCTCTTCACCACGATCTCTCCCAGCTGCGACCTGGTCTTCCCTGGGGGCGGCAGCCAGTACTGCCGGTAGGCCTGCCGCGCCAGCGCGGCCTGCTTGGCGGCCAGCACCTTGGGCGGCAGCGCACGCAGCGTGTCAAATATCTGGTCCACGGTGTCCACGTACAGCATGTCTCCGGGCGCCAGGTCAGCGTCCAGGTACCAGGACTTCAGCACGTTGGGATGGTTCTCGCCGATGCCCTGCGAGGCGTTGGCGACCACCCAGGTCACGTGGCGCACGGTGATGAAGACGCTGGAGGCGGCGTGGTCGATGTCTTCGGCCAGGGCCACTGTGTGCCAGGGCGGGCCGACGAAGACGGGGACGCAGCCGGAGAGGGCCGCCTCGGTGCCGCGCCGGCTGGACGGCCGGTCCCCGGCCAGCACCAGGCAGTAGCGGGAGGCGCGCATGCGCGCCAGCAGCTGCGGGTGGGGCAGGGCCCCGGGGCAGATGTCGCAGCCGCACCGCACGTCCACATCGGTGGCGTTGGACGCCTGGGCTGCGTCCACCACGGCGCGGCGCAGCAGCTTCCTGGCAGGTGGGGTTTATGGTGGTGGGGAGGGAGGGGATTGAAGGGTGTGAATGAGGGCGGATGATCCATCAGGCAATGCAGCACTGGGCCCCACGGGCATGCAGACTTCCTTTCCCCCTGGGACAAAGCACAAGCAGCCTTTCAGGGGCAGTCTTGCCCGGACCCCGTTGGTTGCGCCGGGGCTCACCCTGATGCAAATCGCCATGCTTTAGGGTCGGGGGGGGGCGGCGCACACCCACCCCGGTGGAAGAGCAGAGTGTCGCGGGTGGCGACGAGGGGGTCAAACCCCTGCTGGTGGGTGTCTGCGAGGGGTGGCAGGGCTGGGGCTCACGCTGATGGGAGAGCAAGGCACACCACACGGGATCCAGGCACAGCCCATCCCGGGGCAAGTGGGCGGCTGCACGCCCCATGAGTGTGCGGCATCTCCTGAGCTCATGTCACTGGCCGACCCCAACCCCCGGCCCTGGCTCAGCCGAGGATCAACCTGCACACACCTGTCACATAGGGCAGGATCAATCCCTGCTGGGCATGCGCCTCGCGCTTCTGCGTGCACAGCAGCGTGTGCTCAGAGGTGATGATGAAGGGGGATGAACTGTGTGGGGTTCATGATGGTGGGGAGCGGAGGGTTGGATGGGCCTCACGGGATGGTCTGCAACACGGAAGCTGGACCACGGGAATACACCAATCACTCTACTGAGTCAGGTAACTTTGCGCCAGCAAGCCAGGGTAGGGTATTCAGGAGGGTGGGAGGCGGTGGGCGCGGCAGGCGGAGCCCATTCCTGTCTTTCCGTTGACCTTTGACATCTTGGACCAGGTAACTGTGGGCCCTACTTCATGCTGAGACACTCTGCACCGCCTGGCCCACAGATTCGCTGTGCGCATGGGGGACATCACCCACACAGACATTGAAGATTCCCAAACGTATGTCCCAATGAGCCTCTGCATCTCACCCACCTGCATGGCCTCTGCGCCGCCAGGGTACTCATGGGGGTTGCCGGGAAGTAGGGCGCCACGACGAATCTGGAGCCATTGCTCTGCCTCCACTGGGGCCAGGACCTGAGGTGATGCATCGTCTGCTGCATGTAGAGCTCTGGATTGACGGCGTCCACCACGCCCTCCCTGAAAGTCTGCCACCACTTCCCCGCCCTCCAGGTCTCGTAGCAATGCATGTTGACGTATATCTGGGGACAAGGGGGCGGGGCAAGGGGTGAAGGTGCAGGGAGGACCTCTCCTCACGTCCAGGGCCTTTGTTCCGAGGAAACATGCTCCTGCTGGCAAGGAGACGAAAGTGATACCAACAGCACACAACCTATTCCGACATGCCCTGCATGCACCTTGGCAGCCCTCTGCCTGATCCCAGTCCATCCTCCCCTCCCACCAGATCTGCACTGGCCAGCCTGTCCGCGCGCGCCCCATTGTCGATGATAGCCTGCTCCAGCCAGAACTGGACCGCTTGCTGGTACTCCCAGTGTTGGAGGGGCTCGGTGCCCCCGAGAATTCCGGTCACCTTGAGGGCATGCGGCCAGATGGCGGGGTCCGCGTAGTTGCACGCGGGCATCCCCAGGTCTCGAGCAGGGTCCAGGACGTATATGGAGCAGGATGCCTGCTCCACCGATTGAACAGGGCCTATGATCATAGATCCCGAGGAGAGCGCGACGAGGCGCTTCGGCCAGATCCTTTGACCTGCCAAGCCTACGAGGGAGAAAAGCACGAACCCTACGCGGTGGAGGCGTGGGGCCGGGGTGAGGCGCCACGGGTCGTGAGGGCAGGATCTCGGTAACTTCGTCGATACCCATGATATATGAACAAATATTACCTGCCACAACCAGCAGGATCTGGAGTATGTGAGGCATCTGGCACCCTCGCATGTTTGGTTTGCGGTCGGGGGGGGGGGGGGGGGCTCCGGCAACGTCACAGCATCGAGTATTAGCAGGACAAACTTCTGCGATCTTTTCTCCACTTAATTCCTAATGGTGCAGGATCTTGCTTGCGAGCGGTTATGCTTGTAGCAGCGTTCAACCGTGTGACGGAACGTCTCCCCCGGTGCGCGGGAACAAGGCATACCACTTCGCACCCCCCAGCACATACAAGAGTTCGATATGATTGTGATCAGAAAAGGCCATCTAGCTTGTTGAATGCCGAGTTTCGCTGCGAGACGAGACCTCACCCTGTCTCTGACAAGCTTCTGAGCAAGTTGCTGTGCACATATTGACCTAAATGTGGTATCACTCAGTTTACTCAAGTACTTCCTCATTCAAACCATGTCAAGATCAGCAAGATAATCTGGAAGAGCATCGTTTACAGTGATTCCAGACTCGAAACGGAGGGATAGGCACCAGAAGACTTCCTGCTGGTTGTTCGAGCCGGCAGGGTGGTGTGCAGCACCTGCACTCCAATCTGAGGTCAGTCTTGCAGACAATCTTCAGCTCATCATGTCCTGGTTACAACCCAGTTCTCCCAGAGCACAGGAGCCAGTGCTGCCTGTGGGCTCCGTCAGCTGGACTGCTCAGCTTGGCAGCAGGAATATCAAGCTGTGCCTCCACCCACGCCAGCAACTTGGGAGTTGTGACGACACAAGGGAGTTTACTGCAATGCATTGATGTCATGGAGATGGTCGCCAGCTCCACTTACCACAGACATCGGTCCTCACGCTTCTGGACCGCCCAGAGCAGCGCAGATCCTGGCAGATCGCTCGTTGTGGTCTCGCACCAAGGCCTGGGGATTGCAAAGGGGGTTAACATAGAAGTATCGGAGTCGGAGGGGTTCAACCACCCCTGCACCCGCACGCTTCATGCAGCCCTACCAGGAGACCATGCCCGAGATCCAAGCAATCGGGGCCCCCTGCCGGCTCTTGGAGTCCCAGTGCGAGGCGACGCCCGGGGTCACGCCATTCCAGCCCCATCCAGCCCCGACCAGGCATGTCCTTCAACGATAACCCACCGCACCTTCACATCCACCGTCAGCAGGCAGCCGTCGCGAACAATGACCTCCCCGTTGATGACAGAGGTCGTCACGTTGCCCGGCGCGCACAGCAGCAGCGAGGACAGTGGCTGGTGCAGGCCGCCCGCAAATGCGACGCTGTCGCTGGTCTGCAGGGGTGGGTGGTTAGGTGGGAAGAGGGGAAAGGGATGGCGCCAGTTCTCTCAGATGCAGTCCGAGCGCATGTGTATGGCCCTGCAGTCGGCAGCGCTGACTGACGTCACCCCGTCGCTAACCAATGACTCCCGTGAGGGCATGGCAGTAGGCGGCCATCCACCCTGTCGCCATCTCCTGTCCGCTATGGGTTGTTGCACCCCTCCCACCCCACAGCCCACCCACCTTCCACCCCACAAAGTCGGCAGCGTATCCGGGCGCGATGACGCCCACCTCCCCCTCCCAGCCTAGCGCCTTGGCGCCGCCCTGCGTCGCGATCTGCAGCGCCTCTCGCACCCTCAGCCCTTCCACGTTGCCTGAATGTGTGGGGTCACCAGGGGTGGGGAGCATGTGTGCCACGCTGCGATGGAGACTGTGATGGCGCGGTTGGGTGGTGATGAGGGTGGCACCCCTGGCGGACACCCTCCCCCTAATGGAACCATAAGGCCCCCTCACCGGAGGCGCGCTGCAGCAGCAGGGCCAGGCGCATCTCCTGCAGCAGGTTTCCCGTGTCGTTGGAGGCCGTGCCGTCCACGCCAAGGGCCACCGTTACCCCGTCGTCCAGCAGGCGGCGCACGGGGCAGATGCCTGGGTCAAAGAACGAGGCGAGGGTGTGTACATGAGGAAATGGAGGAGGGGGGCGGGGAGTGGCCGAGTGTCAGCAGGAGCACGCACAGAGCGGGCAGCTCTCCCGGCGAGACCTCGCCCCGGTCTCGGGTCCTTCACGCCCAGCATCCGGGCCCTAGCGAGGCCCTCAGCAACACGAGGTCCCCGGCCAAGAGGGTCACCATGGGTGAGCCACCGGCCTCGCCGCACCAGAGGCGAGGCGGAGGTTGCTAGAGGGGCAGTGCGCCACGGCCATCCCCGCGTCCCTGAACTGGACCCGCTCCTCGGCGCTGAGCATGACGCAGTGCGCATACCAGGACACCTCCCTGTTCCAGCCGACCCTCCTGTTGGGAGGGGCATGGGCTCACGTGGCCTGATGACGTGAGAACCAAGTACCTCATTGCACTCTGCGGCCGCAGCCCCGGAATCTCCAGGGTGGCTTGAGTGCCAGCCCCGGCGCTGAGGGAGCACCCCCACCTCCAAGTGCACTCCACGCCGGGAACATGGGCCCCCTCCCCTCCGCCTCCCTACCCCTTGTATGCGCTCACTTGATGTATTCCCCCGGGCGACAGCCATAGACCTTGAGGCTGTAGTCGATGTCCTCCTGGTTTTCGGCCAGGTGGGTGTGCAGGCGGACCCCGGGAAACTCGGCCACCAGCTTGGCGGCAGCCGCCATGCAGTCCTCGGTGACCGAGAAGGGCGAGCACGGCGCCACGCCCAGGCGCAGCATCGCATGGCAGGATGGGTCGTGGTACTGCCGGATCAGGCGCCGCGCGTCCTCCAGCGCGACCTCCGTCGTCTCCACGCAGTCATCCGGGGGGAG